CTTTGTACTTCCCATACAACCAAGTCCCATCAATTTGTATAATTGGTTTGCATGATGCAAACCCTGTGATGCATGGTTGAAATGCCCAAAACACTCGACTGAATATTCCGTTGCCGTTTAGTAGACTACCATCTTGGGCGTATGCTGGCACTGTTTCCAGAACGTAAACACTACCCGGAGAATACGTCTTGAGTGCATTCAGGTAGCGGGGAAGTTCTTGGTATGACTCCTCCCAGTTTCCGTACACCCTTTCAATCGCCTTAGTCTTTGCTAACCACGCCTTACGGTAAGACGGAGTGTAGTTAAAAACCGTGGTGATGTGGGAGATGATTGTTTTCACCTTCAAAGATGGGTCGTTGCTTACCAGGGGTAGGATTTCTTGACAGATGAGATCGTAGTTAAGTTTTCGGTGGTCCTGTGATTGAGTGGAACTTACACAAGTGTGGGTAGTCATGGAACCTATGACCCAGAAGTCACCTCTTAATCTGTATGATGCGGTCAGCTTGAACATACAGTCAGGGTGGACACACTTAATCTTGTACCTTTCCGGGTTGACACGGTCCACCTTAAAATCAACCGAGTTGAGCATGTGGAATTTTTTTATGGCTCTGATGCATTCCTCTCTGTTACGAAACTTGTCCTTCTCTTTTAAATTTTCATCCGACTGCATATACAGATTGAAAAATAAGTCAGTAGAAGGTTCATCTCCGCCCATGTTGAAGTTTGTCATGTGCGGAGGTGGTGTGTAGATTTCGTTTGCAGGAATACTAGGTATGCCATCATCGTCGGAATCATCATTCACCATTTCATCAAACTCTAACTCGTCATCTTCTTCTTCTTCATCAACTGCATCTACCTCAGCTTGTTCATTCTCCAAAGGATCAACCACTTGTGTCACCCCCTAGTCTGCCACCTAGCCTGCGCCTACTCTGCATGCATGCAGATATGTAATCCCCTAGGCTACCACCTAGCCTGCGCCTACTCTGCACCTATATTGTATGTTATAAGTCTCCTCCCATCACCTCCAATAGGGTTACATGCATTCAGGCATGGCATCCCAAAGGCTGTCACGTAGCCTGAGCCTAGCCTGCAACCAAGGACACCTCTTATTCGCCAATTGGGATAACGACAACTTTCATTTTTGTACTCTTTCGCCAAGTCCAATGGCGCATCCCTTACTGTCCAATCGTGATACATGCATGCAGATATGTAACCCCCTAGGCTGCCACCTAGCCTGCGCCTACTCTGTACCTATACTGTATGTTGTAAGTCTCCTCCCATCACCTCCAATAGGGTTACATGCATTCAGGCATGGCATCCCAAAGGCTGTCACGTAGCCTGAGCCTAGCCTGCAACCAAGGACACCTCTTATTCGCCAATTAGGATGGCGACACCTTTCATTTTTGTACTCTTTCGCCAAGTCCAATGGCGCCTCCCTTACTGTCCAATCGTGATACATCCTTAGGCTGCCACCTAGCCTGCAAGAGTGACACCTTTCATTTTTGTACATGCATGCATATATGTAACCCCCTAGGCTGCCACCTAGCCTGCAAGAGTGACACTTCGCATGCATGCAAGCACCAGCAACCACTATATGAAATTTATTTGTCTATAAATACATACCATATCATACATCTCTCACACCCACACAAGTCTCACTCTCTGCTACAAAATCTTTCATAATCTCTTACACTTTCTAAGTCTTTCATACTCTCTTACACTTTCTAAGTCTTTCATAATCTCAACCATTTTAAACAATGGCTCTTATAACAATGGGCGATTCTCACAGAGGCACAAGGGAAAATATTGCCGCATTTGTAAGTTTCTATTTTGGTTATACATTTTTCATACTTCAGATAATGCTTTGTTCATCTTACTTAATCTTACACCTTTTACATTATGAACTCAGGACACCAAAAGATTCAGAATCCGTTCTCACAACTACCTGGCTCCCGACCCATTTATCGTACCATATCTGGAATACGCAGGTTTTGGACATGTCATAAAGATCTCCAACTGCACAATTGATTCGAAGTTCATTCTTGCAATGTTGGAAAGGTGGAGACCAGAGACCCATACATTTCACCTACCAATAGGTGAATGTACCATCACGCTAGAGGATGTGTACATGCTACTAGGTCTCCCTGTCGACGGCAAGGCCGTGAACGGGTCGGTTCAACAACCCAACTCTCAGTGTGAAGAACTGTTGGGCAGGGATATGGTTGAAGGTGGTGGTGCGAGAGGTCAGGGAATACTACTCACTGAGCTTAAAAGTCATTATGCAAGTTTAGAATTAAACGAAAATTCCTCCGAGCAAGACAGGGTAGTAAAAGCCAGAACTTATCTTATGATACTATTTGGTACCTTTTTATTTCCCGAAAGTACGGGAAATAGTGTAAATTTTATGTATTTACATTTACTAAGAAATTTTGAAAAAACAAGAAAATATAGTTGGGGTTCTGCAGTTTTAGCCCACCTATACAGTTCCTTGTGCAAAAATGCAGTCAAGGAAAAATGTACATTTTATGGGTGCACTTTTTTACTACGAGCCTGGGGTTGGTGGAGGATGGAGTCCTTAAACCCCGTCAACAACAACACTTTCGTTTTCCCGTACGCAACAAAGTAAGTCATCAAGTTATATCATTTATTACTATTCATCTCTTCACCAAATATATGCTAAGAATAAAATGTTTTTCATTTCCTTTAGGTATTGCGTGAGGGGTATGGATTACGGTAAGAATCCAAGATTCAATGTCGCACTATACCGCAATCTGTTGGATCACTTAGGCCCGAATGATGTACGTCGTAGCTTTAAACTTTTCTTCATTTAAATTATTTATACATTACGTTTTCGTTAACCTGATTTAAATTTTATCGCAGTTCGTCTGGAGACCATATTTGGGTTTGGGCCATGATCCAAACTCAGAGGATGCAGCAATTTGGACCGCGAAGACTACAATCATTCGGTTCAACATTATGGAGATGCACCACAACGACCGTGTGAAGATGCAGTTCGGAATGCATCAAGAGATACCAAGTGATCCAACTTGTTTGTCCCCATGGCATCTTAAAAGGGTCGACGCCCAGTGGGGTCTTACCAACTGGAAAGGCTTCGCTCCAGAATGGTGTAAGATGTGGCAGAGGCGTCACTGCTATGTCTTGCAATTCTCGGTTTTCCTTAATCATGGTAATATGCGACACACGAATCAATATTTTTCTTGGTACAGGTCGGTTAGTAACCCTGAAATGCACGTGTCTCATCCAAGGTACTTGGTTGACCCACGCACACAATGGACACAACCCTCGTTTCCCCAACAACAAACCCAAAACCCATCAACCTCCCACCAACCCCCAAGAAGAAACAGAACCACAAACACCCAACCACAGTCTCCACCACAACACAATTACACTCAAATGCCACACAACCAACCACAATCACCACCTCACTACCAATACCCCGATATGCCTCACACCCAACCACAATATCAATCACAATACCAACACACCCGCATACCCCACACACAATTTCAGTCTTCCGTATATCCCAATATGGGCCCCTTAACATCCAGCCTTAGCCCTGATATGGGAATGTCAGAAGATTACGGACAAACCAACCCAGCCTACCATCAACCACAATATCACCAAACCACCCAACATCCTCAATACCAAACACCCCAAGATCCATTTCCTTTCTACCCACCGTACTCAGACGATCAATGCTACAGACCCACCATGGAACCCCACCCACCGCCAACATGACCAAACTTTGAGGGTATGGGTAACCGACTGTACCAAAGCGGATCTTTTAGATATGGAGATCTGACTGATTTTATGGATCCGGACCGCATTGACTTCGTTGGGCCATCGATCCTGCCGCAGCAGGAAACACGACGACACCCAGCACGGGAAAGGCGAGGACGGGGATGCGGAACCGGGGGTCATTACCGGGTTCCGGGGGATCACTGATTTATCTGTTTTTTTTATCTGTTTTTTTATCTGTTTTTTTAATGTAATACAGTTGGATGTAATTATTTTTTTTATAATAAAAAGTCCATTTTGTTGATCCTGTATCAAATACGCAACGCACCGGACAAAAAAAAAATTCAACTTTTGCCCTAAAAATACACCTAGGCGCCATCTCACTTGGCTTAGGGCATGCCCTAAGCACATAGGCGCCAAGTGAGATGGCGCCTCCCCTTAAAAAATGGGAGTAGGCGCCAAGTGAGATGACTCCTCCTTTGGAGAGTCATTTGAAATATGGTTATTTGCGTAATTTTTTCCGAAACGCGGTTATTTACGAATTTTTTTTTAATACTTAGTTATTCAAAAAAAAAAATTCCAAATACCTGAGCCTATTTTATAAAACCTTCTAATTTAAAGAAATACATATCATTGACCGGAATTTAATATTTTTTTAATAAAAAATTGAAAATAATTATTATGTTAGCTTAATATCAAATACTTAAAATATGAAACTTTTCTTTAACATAAAAAAAAACAACACAAATTTTACTATGTTAAAGTTTTGTTTCAGTATATTGGTTTTATAGTATTAAATTTGTAATAAATATTTAAAATAAATTTGCAAACATATAATTATATGATTCATTTATAAAATTTAATTTTATATTCTTAATTTATTTAATAAACAGTTCAACCGTAAATTTTAATCAATTAAATCAAATGAATTTTGAAGTAAAAGTTTTATCGATTCTATCTCCGATCCGATTTATTTATTTATTAATTTTTAGTTGATTAGCTAGATTCTTGCTTTTTTTTATCTTTCTTTTCTTTTTAGGGAGGTATAACTAACTTTCTCTTAAAAAAAAACTATTAAACCTAAATTTCTTCGTTCAATTTCAAACTGAACAACAAAAAAAAAGCACGAATAAACCGGTCTTCCAATTCAACATTGTTTGTTGTTGTGGTTTGTGGCGTCTCAAAACAATCCTACAAACAACGTTGTTGACACAAACGAAAGTACACGCATTTCCAACGCCATGAACACGAACATGAAGAAGGTTTCAGCTGCAGTACTTTATCACTACCCTTGTCCTGACGGCGTTTTCGCTGCTCTCGCCGCACATCTTTACTTCAAAGCAACTTCCTTACTCTCTCCTCTCTTCTTTCCCAACACTGTCTATTCTCCTCTCAGGTTTGGTATAATATAACCCTTTTTATCTTTCACTCTTTTATCTATCATCATTGTTTTTTTTTCTTACCCTTTTCAGAGTGGAAGACCTTCCATTGAATCAAATTACTGATCTTTATCTTCTAGATTTTGTTGGCCCACCTGGATTTGTTCACGAAATCTCCACCAAAGTTCCAAGGTACTTTCTTTTTCACTTAAGTCCTTGTTTTGTTATGGTTCTTTGTAATGTTTTTAATGTTCAAACTAGTCCTTCTCACATAGTTTTAAGTAGGGTAAGGGTTGTAGTTGCATCACAATTCTTGATATTACCGAGAGTTGAATTTAAATGGACCAATGCTGCCTCAATTGCGGTATCCGCAACAAAAAAACTGTTATGTCATGGCTTAGACTATGGTTGCAAGCCTTTATTTGAAGCCTAGTCCTTATGTCGTCTGAATCATGGTTTTAAACTGCCAATGCGGTTGTAGGTGTTACGATTGCAGTTGTTGTGGTGCAAATTGCGATGTAAATTTTGATTGAGAAGAGTTTAAAAATAAACTTAATATTCAGATTTTTCAAAAGCAAATTAAGTTTTGGGTTCTAAATTTTGAGTTTTGACAAAAATATTTGAAGAAACCTATGCGAGTTGTGATGCAATTCCTAAGGTGGAAGGGCGCTTGATTTCAAATTACACCGCAATTGCAATCCAGTGGGGCTGGGGAGACTACAGCATCTGCGTTGCAGTCGCAATTTAAAACCATGGTCTTATATATTGGTTGGGATTAAAAATATATTCAAACCATTATTATGTTATTGTGATTATTTAAGAATTGAGGAATATTTGATTGTATCAACTAAAGTTATTTTGTTGTGTCTCTAGAGTGATTGTTTTGGACCACCACAAAACTGCACTTGAGAGCCTTTGTAGTGATGATACTTCACTTGGTGAGAATGTGACAAAGGTTATTGACATGGAAAGAAGCGGGGCTACTATTGCTTTTGATTACTTCAAAGAAAAGCTTGTGAATCCTGATGTTTGTGTTGTGGTGAACCAACCTTCGGTGATTGGTGAATTCGATCGTGCGAGGAAACTTTTTAAGTACATTGAAGATGTGGATCTTTGGAGGTGGAGACTTCAGAATAGCAAAGCTTTTAGCAGTGGTTTGAAGGATTTGAACATTGAGTTTGATGCCCGAATAAACCCTTCCTTGTTCGACCAGGTAACTCAAATTCTAAGGCTATTGCTTCTGCTCAAACTTTCAAATCCATGCCTGCAACTCTCTCATTTAGATGCCACCACCGTGTATCCAAATGCACTATTAGATACTTGAATTAACCGACATTTTTCAAAATTGTGGTAGTTGCTTTCATTGGACTTGGATGCTGTTATTAGTCAAGGCGCGGTGAGCTTGTCACATAAGCAAAAATTAATTGATGATTGTCTCAGCAACTCATATGAAATCGCCCTTGGAAAAGGTGCATATGGTCACTGCCTGGTATGACTGATATTTTCTTCTTTTGATCTCTTTCTATTTCTTTCATCCTTCTGATTTTCTAACTTGTGCTTGTAGGCTGTTAATGCAGATGCTGCACTTTCAGAGTTAAGGAGTGAACTAGGACATCAGTTAGCTACTAAAAGCCAGAAATTGAAATTGAGGTTTGTTTATTTTATTTTCTTGTTCATATGGATGCTATTCTCCATTTGATTGTGTAGAAAATCCCTTCATTTTAATATGTTGTAGTAGTAGTAGTGATATATTCTAGTTGTTGTATGATAGAGGTTGTTAGAAGTTACAACACATGGGAGATCTTGTATTCGTGTTTCCTCATCTTTGTTCTTGTATCACTCAGTGTTGTTAAATAGCGGCTATAGAGGCACTTTAGCTTAGTGGAATTCAAACAAATCGCTATTGTTCCTCAATATGCTATTTAGTACAAAAGATCGTCAAATAATCACTATTATTATGCAGCAGAGTTCAAACAAACCCCTACTTTCCACGATCCTTGATTGACAACATCGGTATCACTTTAGTATAGCTAAGCCGAATTAGAACTGTCAATGTTGAAGGGCGGGTGTGAGGAATTGGTTCTTGGATACAAGTCAAGAGACAGAGGAGTCTGTCAACATCCCTTCCATTTTTTCACTATCTTCTCATCCAATTCTATCATACCATTTGCCAAAGTTTTATATACCAAATTGATGGAATGAAACTCAAACATGAAATTTTTTTATTTGATTATAGAGATAAGTTTAGTAATGGAAAAACGAGAAGTACCTATACGACCCTTAAATTTCTTTTGATTGTGAATTATGCTAATCTTTATATGAATTATAATGTCTCTAAAAATGATTTTAACAATATCTAATTTAAACTATAATTAAAATCTTTAAAACTAAAATCTTTATTAATGTAAAAGATTTATATATTGTTATTGGTTTTATTTAATGTATATATTTTTAAAGATTTTAATTATAGCTTAAATTAGATATTTTTAAAATAATTTTTAGAAGCATTTTAATTCATATAAAAATTAACATAATTCACAATCGAAAGAAATTTAAGGGTACTATAGGTATTTCTCATTTTTTCATTACTAAACTTATCTCTCTCTATATATAAGGAATGTATCAAGTTGGAGAGTTTTTAAAACAAGAAAATTAAATGGTAACCATTTGATAAATGATCTTGGTGAAGTCACATACAAACATAAACAATAAATGTTCATCAAGGCTATTTATCAAATTCAATGGTTATCATTGAATCCTCTTATCTCTTATTTTAAAAATCCTCATACTTTTATATATATATATATATATATATATATATATATATATATATATATATATATATATATATATATATATATATATATATATATATATCACATTGGCGAAAAATCTATGTAACTTATTTTCTGTTTTCTCATTGGTAACACTTTTTTATGAATATTTATATTTCAAGGGGTATTGGAGCTGTTGTATATAATGTTCCAGAGCTTGAAAATAACCAGAAGCTAAAAATAAGTCTGAGGAGTTTGGACAATGAAGATACAACTTGCATCTCTCAGGTTTGTCCTTCATCAATTTGCTAACTGCATCTCTTATGTAACTTATGTTAACATGTGATATATATTATTTGCAATCTATCAAGCACAGACACCGACATGGACACATCGCACGATGCATGTTGTATGATGGTCATACACCGACGTGTATTAGACACTAAGACAAACCTAATCAATGAGGTGTCAGTGCTTCATAGGTGTCTATGCTTCATATTTTCAATAGGAATTGTATCTAACTTCTCTAAGAATCTTCTATTAGGAATTCGGAGGTGGTGGACATCGAAATGCCAGCTCTTTCATGTTAAAATCTGAAGAATTTGAGCAGTGGAAGATGTGATTGGAATTTGGATGTTAATTTTCTCTTGAAATGAAAATATCAAAGAGAGTTTACACTTGCTATGTAAAGTATGTTGGTCCAATCTTGAACCATTTATGTAACCTTATTATACAATTCTTTTTAACTATTTTTTCTACTTATTATTTTCAATGTAAACTGTTCTGAATTGGGCATGTCCTTGGCCCAACTCTATGTGACGCCCAATCCAATTATGTCGGTCAAGGCATACTGGTCAGTTCTGCCATTGACTGCGTCGGACAACAACTTCCACTTCTCGCAAGAAGGCAACCTCATCACATGGGGATAAACTCAGGTAGTCTTAGGAAGATCATCGCTGGTCAGGAGGACCTCGAGGTCATCTTCCGATCCTCACCGTGACTAAGATTGATCCCCTCACACGACCTTGCGTCCGGCGGGGAGCATCTACGACAAGCAGAAGCACCTCACGAACATCCTCCTCGTAGGACTGACTACCAACGTCTCCGAATATCACGGAGTCTTCGTGGCCCCGAAATACCGCATTCGTATCCTTCTGATCTTGCGGAGGAAGTCATCCAAGTGGGGGACCACGTGCTAGTCCCCACTACTCACGTAGGACCTGACAGTCTCCACTTTGGGCCAGCTTGACCAACCCAATGAGGAGACCTTGGCCCAGCGCTGGGGGCTATAAATACCCTCTCTTTCGAGAGAGTCATGTATTGAACATTTCTCACTCTCTTACTTGTTTGCTCATTCCGAATCTCACTATGGCATCAGAGTGTCTTGCAGGTACCCCTACCTCACTCTCAAGTTTTACTCGACGTAAGCTGTGACGGTCCATTCTGGTCAGGTATGATCAGTGGCGCCGTCTGTGGAAAACACAATTTCCCCGTCTTTCATTCATCCAAGACAAAAGCTAATCTAACTCCTTTTTGATTGTCATGACTGATCTCACGCAGAAAACAACCTTAATGTCCATCCCGCCGACGTCAACAACAACGTCGCCGACCACAACACCGACATCAACAACGCTGGTCCCGCTGGCCTTAACACCGGTAACAATAACAATACCGGTAACAACAACAATGGCCACGCCGTTGACATGCCCGACCCCTTAGAATATAGAGACGGGCTGACTGCCTCATCGTCAACACTGTCCAGACGACTCGAGGATGATCGTCCTCCTCCTCAGAACTACCAACCGAACCAGTTCCAGAAGGTCCCAGTTCCTGCGGGTGTGTTCACAGTGATTTCTGGTGAACAACCGCTAGTCTTCCAAACTATCAAATAAACTTAATTACTGTTATTCAATCTCTTTGGTAACTTACAGGATCGACTAGATTGATCCTATGGAACATAGTTGTTTGGCTAAGTCTAATTGTAAAACTGACATTTGTATTTAGGATTTCGAATTACAGTTGTTCCAAAGATATCCAATTCGCTTCGATTACTATACTGAATGGTTCGAAGGATAACTTCTATATGGTATTAGGAATATTTATTGAGAAAAGTTTAAAGACTTGAAATTGGATAAATGGCAGGATTAAATGAGTGGATGTAAAAGTTACTAAATGTTTGGAGGTTTCGACCATAAGAAAAGTATTTAAATGCAGAAAGGAATAAATGACTTAGAGTACAAAGGTATTAATGTAAAGGCATAAACATAAAATTGCTTGAAACACAAATGAAACGGAAGTGAAAGATAAAATTGGAAAATGTAAAGAGTTTTCATTGAATTGTAAATGCTGGTGTTATCGTACGTACATCTTTCGAGCATTCGTTTCCCTATCCATGCAGTATTTTGAATGTTTATTGAATTTGTACAACAGATATGACACCCCAATTCCTAACAATAAGACTTCTATTTATACTATTCGACCATAACGGTCTTGCTATCAGAATCTGCCACGTTCGAAGCATGCAGAGCATTGCTTCCCTCTAGCCTCCACGCGTCTTCGAACACTCTTACGCTTGTGTATTTGAATTTCCAATATCCCGCTTACGTTTGAATTTCAAATGTTTTTGGAACTTTTCGTTTCGAGTTTGTTCATAGGTTATTTCCAAAAATGACCTTCATAAATATCCTCTTATGATTATTTCGAACAAGGCTTTGGACTCACACTCCACAATTTATCATTAGAAACCTTGGACTCTAATATTTCCATTTGAAACAAGCATTCTCTTCCATTCCGAATCATCAAATCTGCTTTATTCAAACCAAACTCAACCATATTTCGAATTACAGGATCAAAATCTTCAGCCAACAAAATGCCCCTTTAAAAAATGTATTTCGAACCCTTTGAGAAGTACTTATTTTAAATAGATTCACAAGATTTTGATAACCCTTTTTGAATGAATCATGACACTCACTGCACATGACTTTGTCCACGTCAATCAAGACGTCTTTTTGAGTACTCAACCGTTTTGGACCAGTTACCACAGCATGGTGCGGTTTAAAAATAATGATTATTATTAATCACACTTATTATCAATACTGGATCTTACGCCACCTCCCTCTGAATCCAATCAACAACTTCCACGTATTCCTAGTCTTTTTAGTGGATGCTTACACTCACTCTATAAAACCTATCAGTTCAGTCTTTTCTTCTTTTTTCTCCAAAACTTCTGAAATCCCCCTCTTCTTTGCTAAACCCAAAAACTTCCAGCAATCTTAACAATGTCTTCATCAACATCATCACAACTGAAGAAATTATCAAAGAAGAAGAACAAGAAAACCAACACGGAAACTATCATGGAGAGCAAAATGAGTATTTATCAGAATCAATCTGTACTCAATCCTCAAATGATCTATAAGGAGAAAGAAATGCTGTACGCCTCTCAGGTATTAATCCCTACCACTGTTGCTGGAAAAAGGTTTTCCCTAATGGGTCCTTTAACAGTTTTTGAAATTCTGAAAGATACTAGGAAATTTTTTCCTGTTTGCTATAAATTCAAACCCCTTTTCAACAGAATGGATGCCCCTAGGGCAGGGACTGAAGACCTAAGCGAATCATCTGATTCGAAAACAACTGAAACTCCGGCCTTACCTCCAAAAGACCCTTTTATCTTAGATTATATCAAAAGTAATTTCAAACCCTTTCGATCCTGCCCTACTTCAGACATAGCATACCAAAACTGGTTCACCAACAACTCCCAAGAAACGAAAACAAGGCCCTACTGACAAGGACCCCAAAACTAGTGAAAACTCTCCAACAGCTTCTAAGAAGAAGAAGAAGAAAGAAAGTTCCAAAGGCCCTGAGCCTACTAACGTTCTTGGGTTTGATCCCAAAGACGTTGCTCCCTCAACAACATCCAAAATTCCACCTTCGACCTCCAACATAACGTTGGAACATATTGACAACAACATTCCTTCCGATAACCCACAGGTAATTAAATTCGAATTCATAACAAAGATAGTTATTCATACCTTAGTGCATACTCTTAATTAATTTTGTTTATGCAGGACACTTCGAATGCAAACCCCACTGCTTCAAATCCTCCAACTGGGATTCATGCTCCAATCACTTCCTCTATTCATGGGGACTCCAACAATTATGTGCAAAACAAAGGATCCTCCAACATGGCGGTCCTGACTGGAGCTTCGGAGGCACACGATGACCAAGGCATCTCGCCCCCTTTGAAGGAAGCAAACGAAGGGTCATCCCACAAGTCCAAGGAAAATCCACCAGAAACTTCCCTTCTGAGATCTCCTCTTGAAACCCTTCAAGAGATTCCAACAATCACTGAAGCTGAAAAGAACAATACTGATTCTTCTCAAGAGAGTGAAGAAACTGAAGAAGAAAGTTCTGGTGGAGACGAAACCCAAAGTGGTTCAGCTGGTGGAACGAAATCTGATGCTATTAGCAGCGAGATCAATACCATCGATGTGGTGGATCCATGTGACGAAGGAGAAAGCGAGGAGCAAGGCAAGGATGAAGATGATGGGGGTAAGACTAAAGAAACTATGGGGGTCGAAATGGACGTGACTCCTTTAAACAAGGAACTTTCCCCAACTTCCCAGCCTCGACTGATTGAAGAGGAACTAGCTCTCCTAAAGCTCAATGACCCAATTGGGTACATGAAAAATAAACTGGCTCAGAAGGACGTTCCTCTCACTAGGGTTGGCACAAGTTCAACTAGCAGCACAATGTCCCCAGATGCTAGAGCTGAACTTCTTAACCAAGTCAGGAAAATAATCCTTGATGTAGACCTATTCGAAGTTCTCAAAAAGGATAGCACTGCTGGCTATACCATGAAGGAACTTCTTACTCAGGTTAATTTTATAACTTGCTCCTTGCCAATCAGCACTATTCTGTTCGATCTCCAAGTTTTATTGGACGATGTAACTGGATGTCTCCTACAAGATGAAATGGCTGCTGCTAAAGTTCAGGAGAAACGAAACGCCATGGATGCTGCTTATGAGCGCACTTCGAAACTTTCTACAGAGGCTGAGGATCAAGCAACGCGTTTAAAACAAGCGAAGGCTGACTATGAAGTTCGAGCGCGCTCTATTCTCTTTTGGGAAGGACAGATTCAAGAGCTCCAGCAAAAGATCAAAGAAGCTCAACAACAGCAATTAGCTTACGAAACTGGCAGCGTAAGTAATCAATTCGAAGAACTCCTTAACAGGGGTCTTTCCGAAACAGAAGCAGCAGAGCGCATCAAAGCGGAAGTAAATACTCTGGAAGGAGCAAGATGTTACACCCAACAAAGGCTTGAGTCTTTCAGAAGCACCTTCGCAAGACTGAGAAACAACGTTTATTTTTAAACATTTGCTTATCTGAATTGATTTACACTTGGTTTTGTAATATTTAAACAATTCCATTTGGCAATATATGACACCATTTTGGCACCTCCTTGTTATATTCCGACTATGTTGCTATTATTCGAATCTCTTGCAGGCGAGGTCTATATTTTTTCAAATACTTTCTGTTAACCTTTAAGATTCGTTTGTCATCAGTTAGCTCTTCGATTTCATACGCATTGTTTGAGAAACTCTTTAGTATTCGAAAGGGTCCTTC